CTATAATCATATAGAAACTTAAAGATAATGAACTTTTGTGTCAGTCTATGTTTTGTCCTACATGACTGTATCGCTGCAACACCAAGACTAAAACATTAGGACTGGAACTAAGATTCACTCTGAAAGTTTTAAACACATTTTTCATCATATTAAGAGCTAATGTGTTCATTTGCTGTTTCATGTTGAGAGAAATTATGCAAAGTAAAATTAAAACATCTGGAAAACCCCGGGATTTGAATTGATGTGAATGCAGCCATTGCCATCACTGTATAAAAAGAGCTCTGTGGGATCCCTCTATTTTACATTTTAGTTCAAACACTGGAAGACAATAGCTTTTTAACCTATTCCTTCCATTGTGGACAGTATTTTTTTTTTTTTTGAGCTAAGTTGTGTAAGATGTGGACATGATTAAATTACACACAGTTTCCTAACAAATAGAAATACAACCGAATCATTTACTGCCTGATAAAGACGATGACTAGGTACAGAAGTGAAAACACTTGCAAAATGATGTTGCAAAACACATCAACATATGGAAAACTGAGAGTATGAATCCATCCCTGCCTTTATAAAGACAAGTGATCTACAGGTGTTAGACTCAGACATTTACATCACCTGTAACATCATCTCATCTGCTCTCTATCTTTCTTTGGACTCTCACTCTCAAACTGTGACAGGTAAAAAAAACAAACAGTCATTTTATTTAAAACAAAGTGGGAATGTGCCATGCACTGCCACTGACTACACTGTTTACTGTGGTATATTGGATCATTTAATTTGTTTGTTTATTTCCAGGATGAAGTTTGCTATGATATTTCTTGTGTTGTCGCTGGTCGTCCTCATGGCTGAACAAGGGGAGTGCAGATTTAGAAGAGTGATGTCTACGTGGAGAGGCCTCAAACAACGATGGAGAGGTAAATCACAAGTGAACACACATAGTATCCACTTAAACATGTAGATTTATGCTTACAGAATTAGTACTACAACACTGAATGCTTAAATAGCATGCATGTATTTTTAAATAAACCCTAAAATGCTGTTCAAGCCAGCTCCCTTCAGTCTATTCATAACCTATCTCACATTATTTTAATAATCAATTACTCTGCCAGTTCAAATCTTGACTAGTTTATTCATTGTTTGGTCTAAACAATGTTATAATGTCCTTGAGTCTGAAAAAGTGACAAATCTGTTTCAGGCTAATAAAATAAGTAATAGTCATCGCTCTACTTCTATCAGATCACATATCATCAATAATATACAGGTTATTGCAAACATATATGAATAAAGGTAAATGGAGCCACTGTTTTTTCAGTACAGTCTTGATTTGATGTAATGTAATTTTCATCTTAAATAATTTAGGTTTAATGTCCTTTTGATTTTTATTTTAGGCTACTCCCGAAACAAATACAGAACGGCTCCAGGGTAAGTACCAAAGATATTTTATATATTTATAAATCTGCTAAACCTGTCAAATTCCCACCAACTCTAATCTATAATTCCTTTGTCCTACTAGCAATGAAGAAGGCGGCAATGAACAGCCACAACAATTTGCTCAAGCCCCTCCAGCTTATGTGCGCTAAAGCCATGAACGTTCTAACAAAGGAGCAGCTTATCTGGACAGAAAACATAGCTCCTTAGCTTAGTGCTCTGCAATGCAAAGGACATACATAACAAAAAACATTTCTAATCTCAGGCTCCTGAAACACAACTAATTGGTTTTCAAAAATGTGCTTGATGCTGCAAATTGTCCTGATGAATAAAACTGCAAAAGAAACTGCAAACTTTGCTGTGTTATTATTTAAGGAAATATTTTATTCAAAATTTCCAATGGTAAGTTATTTTTCTACTTTTTAGTAGGAAAATGTCAATGTTACTAGAGTAACAGGTTCCACTAATATCATCACCACTATATATAATGTTTTATGTATTTATATGATATACATAGGCACACAAATACAAATATACCTCTAGTATAATTTTTAGTACAATGTAAAGTTTTTTCTTAATTTGGAGCTAGAAAATGCCATTTACAATACAATCAATTTGATAAGTTTTGGGTATTTCATTCTTTCAGGTTTTAATTTAATTTATCAGAATTCCTCACTAATAATGTGCAATTTTAGATGGAAGTCTCCTTCTTGTCAATCATCTGCCATGCCCCTTAATACGGTCCTAATTCTGCATGTAATTCAAAGTCACTATTATTTTCTATGACCATATAGAGAAAATGCATAGACAGTACAGTGTATATCATTTAGGGTACATCTAAAGGAGCATATAACTGGTATTTGACCGTGCAGATCCTTGTGCACTGAAACGGCTGAAACGTCTTCTACCTAAAACCAAGTCCAGTTGATTTTTTTTCTATGTTTTTTCAACTGGTATTTGAATGTAAAAATGTGAAGAGGTATGTTAAATGTCATAAACACCAAGTTTCTCCATAAAAAAGGACTCTACATAAAAACTATCTACTTGAAAGCAATCTATCACGGGGCTTTTACTGCACTGTGTCTGAGTAAAAGCATTGGTTGTATAATAGACTACTAGGGCTTAGAGATAATTATTATTACACAACATGTAAAACTGAGCACAATGTGTCATCCTGACCGCCCATACTGTAATTTGACTATGTTGATCTTTTCTATTGCATGTCGTCCGTGTAGCAAGAGGGATCCTTCCTCTGTTGCTCCTCCTGAGGCCCAGGCAGCTAATCAATATCTCTTTATGACAGTATTGGATTTACAGGGAGGCTGCATCATTGAGTTATTTAATCCACTGGACTAGCAGCAAATGAGCATCCTCCAGTGGTTATTTTATCTATAAATGGTTCCTTTTTCAGATATAGATTACAATCAAGCACTACGGAGCAAGAGTTGTGCCTTCCATTTTTTATCTACTGGTAGATATTAAAATCAATTCATAATTACTTAAAGGCTCTCCTGAAACAACACAAGTAAATCACCTGTTAACAGTAAAGAAACGTGAGACACTGAGTAAATACTCTGCAGATACCTCTGTGCTAAATGCCTTCTGTCCTGCGTCACATCATCTACAGACTTTAAGATAGTCATTTTTAATCAAATGTTTGTCTCTCACACTGGCTCACGTTGATCCATTTAAGACACCAGCTCATCCATATCTCTGCTAAG